ATAAGTCAGCCTCATAAACTCAGTCAATCAACGTTGTGAAACCCAAAATCTATATGCTCAGAGTCCATATACAGCCGAGTCGCAATTCGTTTCCGAGACTATAATGACAACATCGGCACTATGCAACCTCTCCATCGCAATGTCAATCCACTCAGATCCATCCTTATCTCAAGGCGTCAATCGGCCCCACTTTGACGACAACAACACCATGGATGTCTATTTGTCATCCCCTAACTAGACTCAATATTCACTCATTATTATCGTTCAATCTTCCAACTCAACTTTCTAGTTGATATTTTCCCTATCAACTAATTCAACATGACGCTCATCAGGATCAGCAACAACAAAACTCTCAAGGGCCACAAGGCCATAATCTTTTCAACCGTTGAGCTACCCGAGGCTCAGATCGACGCTATTCAGAAACAGTTCCCTGATCTGACTATCAAGATTTTTATTCAACCATGGGGTGCACCTCTCGATCCAAGTTTCAAGGAAGAAGAGTGGCAGGATACTACTGTCTTACTGACTGCTACCTTATTGCCAAAGCCAGAGCAGGCGACGCATCTGCAATACGTTCAGCTCACGAGTGCTGGTGCCAACCATCTCATCAAGGATCCCCTCTTTACGGATACAAAGATTCCATTCTCGACCGCTAATGGGGTTCATGGGTGAGACGGCCTTGCAAGATGTCAGACCATGGCTAATTGATAGACCTCAAATTGCGGAGTGGATTATAACTACTTATCTATCTCATCGACTTCACTGTAGGGCGTTCGATTGCTCTTTTTGGAAACTCTGGCTCACAGTTTGATAGTAAAGGAGTACTCGAAGCTTCAAGATGAAGGAAAATGGAAGCGTCTTCATCAGGGTGCTGAAGATACTGAAGACACAGCTGGCAAGCGAATGTCAGAACCCATACTCTCGCACATAAAGGATTTCGATTAACAAGTCTATAGTGGCATCCTAGGCTACGGCAGTATCGGCCGTCAAATAGCCCGTCTCTCGAAAGCTTTGGGCCTAGACGTTCACGCTTACACCCTTCACCCTCGAAACACCCCGGAGTCCCGCCGCGATGACTCCTACACGCCTCCTGGCCTCGGTGATCCAGAGGGTGAATTCCCTAGCAAATGGTTCTCCGGCGGATCCAAAGAAGAGATCCATGAATTTCTTGATTCAGGGCTGGACATCCTCGTCATCTCAGTGCCATTGACCGACAAGACCAAGGGATTGATCTCAAAGCCTGAGTTTGAAATTCTCGGTAAGAAGGGGACTTTCTTGATTAACATTGCCAGAGGGCCTATCGTCAATACCGATGATCTCATCGAGGCGCTTAATTCGGAGACTATCAAGGGTGCGGCGCTTGATGTCACTGATCCTGAGCCTTTGCCGGATCAGCATCCACTGTGGAGTGCGAAGAATGTGACTATTACGCCACACATCAGTGCTGCTTCCTCATTTTACTATACGAGGCTGTTGGATATTTTTAGATTGAACCTTGAGAGGTTGAGTCAGGGACGAAACGATTTCATCAACAAAGTCAATCGGAAGGAAGGTTACTAGAAGCTTCTGAACGAAGATATGAAAAACCATGGAATATGTTTCGGTTTCTTATCTTCTATACAGGATATATATGGAAATAGGAAATATAGACACGCGTGGTTCAGAAAAAGTAGAAGTGATATTGAGCAACGCGTTTACTGAGCCATTTTCTTCTCCATCAATACCCTAATCCTCTGCACCCCAGCAGAACCGTATGTTTCCTCCAGCATCTCTATGACTCCCAACGCAGTGATCTCTGGATCCCACATATCCTTCAAAACCACAGCTCTGACATCTGAAAACTGCACAAACTCCCTTACAATCTCAGCCCAGCGTGCAGTTCCTTCAGGGTTGATATCGTAGTACTCAATCCATCCCCTCCGTTTTGCATCACGAAGATGACGAAGAACAGATAGCCATGGAGTAATTGACTGATGTGTAATGAAGTGTTTATATTCATGATTGGGACCCGGGTTGATGCGTGATGGATTGTTGAGAAGCCAACGGACGAGCTGGGGTGATGACATGGGGAAGATGGTCTTGTTACGAGAGCAGAGAAATTCTGTCGCGTAGGAGAGTAAAGGTGTTGACCCATCCTCTTCCTCTTCTTCCACTGCTGGTTCTTCACGACTCAGGTCCTCGACTTCCTGACAGACATAATCTGTTAGACTGAACTTGGTGGCAAGACACAGAAACGGCCGATGAATAGGAGGCGCTTTCATCCTGATCTCATAAGCCCCGAACGTACTCTTTGCCCAATGATCATATGGATCAGACGGCTTCTTAAGCCAGAGCCAAGAAAGAGTTTTATCCATCTCATCCAGGAACTTCCGCTGAAGGCCTTGGGGATCTCTGATGATATATCGAGCATGCGTCATGGCGAGTGCAATATCAGGATACCACTCATCTAAACGCCGATGATGCTCGATTTCTTCGAGAGGATGCTTCAGACGAAGGACATATGATCTCAGATGTCGAATATGCGGGTCAAAATCTGTAGACTGGAGTGTTTCGAGACGTTTTCCTGCACCACCGTCCATGAGCCAGTCTCGAACTGTACGGTGTATGTAGGTGACCTTGCTCGTCGTGATGAGACTTGCAATATTGGCGTTCTTGTCCTGGAACTTTGGTACACGCATATTGCCCATCGCCTTGGCAACGTGGACGTTCAAAAGCCTTGCGAAGCGAGCTTGGATATACTGTACTGCCGTTCCGCAGCGTCTTTGAATTTCTTTATCTGTCGCTTCCACCACTTCGCGATCGAGAGCCACAACATCATCCTCTTTGAAAAATGCAAAGGCGAGTTCCCAGACTGTCAGTGAGTTCGAGGACTCATCCTTGATAAAGCCTGCGACGATTTCTCTGGCCCGCATGAGCTGGAATAGAGTGGCAGTTTGCATGATCTCCGAGGATGTCTGATCCTTGAACAGAAGCTTTTCGAAGAGATCATCAAGTTCTGTTGGGAGTTCTTTCAGAGTTGTCTCCAAGACTTCGAATTCGCAGTTCTTCTGAAATGTTACGAGCATACGCTCAACTGCGAGTCTAACCCATAAGAAAACTCCGTTGGCCTGTTCAACCACTGTAGTGATTAACAGATGAGTCGAATCCGGATTCTGCTTCATCATTCTTCGAATATGGTCATTCGTTTTCAGTGTATCTGCTGCATAGCAGTACATATCGTCGTAACTCAGATCCTGAAGCTTGGTATTTGGAACAGACGCTTCGAATGCCTTTTCAAAGACATCCCATGGACGAGATGAGAGACAGAGTTTGAGTGACTTTCCATCGTATCTGGATGTTAAGTCCTTGAAGAAGTTGATGATTTGGACATGATCGCCATCAAACTCATCAAGACCGTCGATGAAGAGACAGACGTTCACGCTAGGTAAAGCCGCGTCGAGAAGAGAGTGGAAGGCAGCCTGTAAATCTTGAACAGTCCATTCCAGAGCAGAGTTGACTCGTTCCTTGGTCGTCATCTGTCGCAAGCGACTCCAGAGATCAGGAAATGCCTTTTCAATGAGCTCTGGATCAGAGGACAGCAACTGATGGAGGAGATATCGCAGCAGGCCAGTTTGCGACCTCTGCTGCTGAGATCCACTGGTCCAGAAGAAGAAGCCCGCTGTGTTGACCTTCTTCTTCCCGCCCCACCTACGAAGATGATAGAGCGCAACTGGATGCTGGGAGAGGTATCTCACGAGCGTGGATTTACCAGACCCTGGCTTTCCAGTGATCCAGTAGATAGGACCCAGCTCCGTGGTGCTGAGCCATGAGACGAAGCTGTCTCTGAAGTTCCGGCGCAGAGATTGGTTGATGGGCGAATTGTCAAAGATCCAATCAAGAGTCTTGGCGTGAGCTTCAGTGACTTGACTCTCGCGATCATGCATACTTTTGTATGACAGACTCTCGAGAATGAAGTCATTGATAAGGCCGACGGGAGCTAGCCTCGGGGGTCTCGGGATAACCGGGATCTGCCCGGGAGATTTGCCAGCATCATCCTGAGCAGTTGTTTCCGTGTGCTCAATTGGACTCTCCGTCTCAGTCTCTTCAGACTCAAGGTCACGGCTTGTGAGCTGTAAATCAGCGAGCAAGGGTAGACAGAGTTCACTAGCAACAACACGTTAGCGCACCGTTAGCTCCTGGAGAGCAACCAGTAAAGTCAACTAAACTCACTGTGACGACGGAAAGGTGTCTTGGCATTGATGCAACACTTGACGGAGCCGTGCATTCAGCGCCGTGACATCGTCCAGGGGCCAAAGCTTGCAGAAGCCAGCGACATCGATTGAATCACTGAACGCGTTCAAGACACGGTTGACGTGGACGACGAGGTCATTACCAATCTGAACACAGGCAAACCTGATCAGACTTTTCTCGTATTCTCCCTCTTCACCCTCAACATGAACACGCTTCACCGAATGCGTCAACCCCTCGAGCAAGCGAGCAAAGTCGGTATCACAGCGATCTGTATATCCCAGACTGTGTATCCCTCGCACAGCATGGCACACATCAACAGCCCTAGCGAGGAATTCAGATACAGTGTCAACGTTAGCGCGTGCAGCCATTTTATAAGCTTGTAATGGTGCAGCTAGCGGATTTAATTTATTGAACTATTATGCAAAAGTCCTGTTAATCTTGTCCTCTTGGCATGTGAATTTCACAAAGATTGAAGTTTAAAAACAAAAAGAGAGGTTGGAATGGAATGTGAGATTGGAATGAGGGGTTTAAATACGGTCTCATGTTGGTCACGCGTAAGCAATCATCCCTGCAGCTCCTCTACTATCACATTGCATTGAAACAGGCTGAATTAGCTATCGAGTGCCGGTCTGTGAAACAATTGGTTATAGCGTCCTACAAGGTTCACAGCCCGTACCACGCTTATCAAAAGCGTCTGTTTCGAAACGTCGTATAAGAAACGCCACTCTCCCTGCCAATTTTGACCATCGTCATCGAACAGCACCAGCAAAATGCCTTCTCTTTCTATCTTCGTGGGAGTTCTCTCCCTGTCAACGCTTACACTCGCGGCGGGTAATACACCTGGTCTTCCTCTTGTTATTAATACATGGGGCGGCGATTTCACCGCCGCTACGGATGCGGCCTTCACCGCGCTGGGGAAGAAGGCTTCTGCACTTGACGCGGTTGAAATTGGAGGTACGACGTGCGAGAACAAGCAGTGCGATGGGAGCGTAGGCTTTGGAGGGAGTCCTGATGAGAACTGTGAAACTACACTTGATGCGATGATCATGGATGGTGGAAGCATGAATTCCGGAGCTGTTGCTGCTCTGCGTCGCGTTAAGAGTGCGATTTCTGTTGCTCGACATGTTCTCGATCATACTACCCATTCTCTCATCGTCGGAGACCAAGCTACAGAGTTTGCTATCCAAAACGGCTTCAAGACCACAAGCCTGTCTACCAAAAACTCGGATAAGCTGTGCAAGGACTGGAAGGCCAAGAAGTGCCAGCCCAACTATCGCATCAACGTCAGCCCAAACCCAGCATCAACATGCGGTCCCTACAAGCCTCTCGCCACCCTCACAACCAGCACCATGAAGACCAATAAACAAACCGGCCACGACACCCTCTCTCTCATCACAATCCACAAAGACGGCTCCATGGCCGCAGGAACAACAACAAACGGCGCCTCCCACAAGATCCCCGGACGCGTTGGCGACGGCCCCATCGTTGGCAGCGGCTCCTACGTCGACAGCGATATTGGTGGCTGCGGAGCTACAGGTGACGGCGACATCATGCTTCGCTTCCTCCCATGCTACCAAGCCATCGAAGGCATGCGTAACGGCCTCTCGCCCAAAGAAGCAGCCGAGGATGCCGTTCTCCGCATGGTTCGCAAGTACGGCGATCTCAAGAGCGGCATCGTCGTTGTAGACCGGTACGGAAACCACGGTGCTGCGTGCAGTGGGTGGAATTTCCAGTACAGCTACAGAGGAGGAAAGATGACCAAGACAAAGGTCGTCACTGTGAAGCCGGTGCAGGAGGTACGTCTTGACTTGTAGCCTTGACGAATTATGAATGTGGTTGACAAAGTCCTAGGTTTAACGAGCATCGAGCGCAACAGCATGTTTGTATTTTAGTTGTATCAATCGACAATGGTTATGTCTTTGACTTTAGTAGCGATTTAGATATCCAAAAACGAAAATGGAGAACGATTGTTATGTTTTTGCCATTGATACATGTGATATTTCTCCGTGTTGATGTAACTGACTTAACTGACCCATTCCCACGAATAGTCTTGATATGACGTCAAAAGTTGAACCCACAGCCTCGACTCACCATTTCACAGCCCATCGTCAAGCCGAAAAGGTGCTGACCATCTCTGCCTCACGGTTAGTCAGACTTTTCATGGATAGGAATCACGTACCGTATCGTGAGGTCTTGAAGAATCGACCAACCTCAAATCCGTCCCAAGTCGAATACGATTCTCAGAATCCTTATTTATAGTTGAAGCGTGAATCTGTACAAAATCAGCAGGGCTTCATCTCAGTTTCGCAGATACGCACCATACGTGGTTTGTGAAAAACAATATCGCCGGCTTCATACTCTGTCAAAAGCCATCTTCCACCTCCGTTGTCTTGTAGAAACTTGATAGGGCCGAGTTCCAAGAAACCATTGGACATCATGTTCTTGTTGAATGCGTTGATGCGCTCCTCTTCACTCATACCGCCTTCCCTTGCCTTTTTGTTGAAGGCATCTTCTAATGTTCGACCTAGAGTGTCGCCTTTAACGATTAGCCTGGGGATCTCCGTGTGTTTTGGAAGCAGACTCACTGCCTTCAAGATATATCAACCCACCGCCTTGACGGCTGATATCCCCGATCGGTACCCAAGCTGTCACTGAAGTAGGTTCTCCATATCGCAAGAACGACTGATCATAATGCACCCCAATGGCATTGTTATGTGGCGTATTGTTCCTCAACAGTGATCTTGGGAGTAATTTGGTATTATTGCCCCAGCCTTTCAGTCCAGAAACGAAATATCTCAAGGCTGGATGTCTCGAAAACTCGAGGTAAAAGTCCTCTATATGGGCTTTCTCCGCAAGGCTCGCGAATGAACCTGGGTTGATCTGCTCTCTACCAAAAGGGCCAGCGCCAATACTGGGATAGTTGACACTCTTGTTATCAGGATCGAAGATACCATCAACGGCAGCTGAGTTTGGTTGTAGAACACCACTTGGGCTGAGAAAACGGAAGTACGCTTCCCGGCAACCAAGAACATCAGAGCGGGGGAGGAGTCCTTTCATGAAGAGATAGCCATCCTTCTCATAGCGGGCTCTCAGGTCTTCGATCGGCTCAGATGGGTAGGACTGTTTGAGCTTCCCAATCATGCTAGACTCAAGAATTCCATCGTTGACGAGATAGCCTTGTCTGAAAGTATGCTGAGCAGTTTGTGTCACACTCTGGGCCATAGTGCGGGAAAACAGTCTGGCAGTAATTGATTTGACGTGAAGTGATCTGATATTCGTGGGAGGTCGTCATTTTATCACTTACACGAGGAGGACACAGCTTCATGATTGGCAGCCACTTACACACATGGAAAATGTCTCCGACAACAGATCTTAGTTTCTTGCCGAAAACAGTAAGATTCCGGCGAGACACTACCCAGTCGGACGTGCTATCAGGGCAGCTGGACACAATATGCAGCCACAGAGTTGCGGGGTGCAGGGCTAGTGGAGGTATGCCATCATGAACTCCATCAAACAAGGGTAAGGTTGACAGATTCACGGGAGTTCTATCTTTATAATGAAAAGAAGGGTAGTATTGACCGAGTGTGCCGAAAGAAGCAACTGCTCACGGTAGGTAGGTAGTTGGGGGTGGGGCTCGAATGCCCTACAAGGAGGATAACTTAGTACTAATGTCAAGTAGAGGGACACTTCAGATGACGAATGACAATGGCGGACTTGAGATTTACATTTACGAAAATGTTATAAAGCAGAAAACAAGGATATAATATTCTCTATTGACTATCATCCACATCATCCTACTAATCACCTGTCACCTGTCACCTGTCACATCCTCCAAACTCCCTCTACGTGTAAGCCCACGCAGCGAACTTATCCCCTGCAGTCTGAATCTCAATCCCCTCAATAGTCAAACAGCCACTTCCCGTAAAAGTGCTCGTCGTCGCCTTGAGGACCGCCTCTTTCGTGACTGGGACATTCCTCGCCGTTGGGCAAGCCCAAAGTCCCGGACTTGCGTTCTCCGGGGACCACATGAGTATCGTGACGGGCATCTTACACTCTGAGATGACATGTGCGCGCTGGAAGCCACCCATTTGTGAGCCTGGGGGTCGAAGGGCAGAGTGTGCGGGCGGGTAGGATATGATCCCGTCGGGGGCGACGAAGATGAATTGACCGCCTGGAACTGCGGCCTTTTGTCGTAAGCATGGGCTGGGAGAGTGGCTGTGTGACTTACTGCGAGACCAGTCATGTTTCCATCGACTTGAGTGGAAGTGCCATCGGGGCATTCGGTAGCATTGTCAAGGCCGCAGAACGTGCTGGGTTTCGTGGCGCCGATGATGAAGGCTTTATTCCTTGCATTGATGATGCGCGAGTGAATCTGGGGAAGCGAAGGAGCATAGACAGAGAGTGTGTAGTAGGCATTTACGGCAACGATGGCCAAGAGGAGTAAAGGGAGGAGTCTCATAGTTGCGAATTGCGCGAGGCGCATTTATGTGTTGACATGGAATACGAAAGCCAGTAGCCCGGTTGCTATGATATGACGATGTTGGGCATGGAAGATCTTGGCAAACTCTGATGGATTGGACGAGATATAGATAATTGAGAAAGGGAGGAAGGCCCGAACCTTTTCTACTTGATGCCTTCTTATCTCGGTTACTCCGTACGTCTCGCGGAGATGCCTCAAAGAAGATATGATCAGAATATGCCATAAATAGTTCTTATCTCTTTTCATCTTGACTATTGTAAACCTCTAAAGTTTTGTCGTATTGTCAAGCGAGGTTCCACTCTTCGTCTTCCACTCCACGTGCAGACCTGAGCCATTCTTCATATCAAAGTCGTGGCGGCCTTGACTACATCCTCCCAAGGGACGTTAACACCGTGGACAACCTCCCAGACTCCCTCCAGCCTAACCCCAGGACCCTGAACACATGTACACCTCAACTCGTCATCTGGAACCTCAACAGAGATGCGATAAGTTCGTGTCCAGTTCCCCAGATCTAATGACGCGGCCCGATGATGTTTCAACAAGGACAATGCAGGGTCGAAGTGGCAAGACGGTAAGACCGAGAACACATTTGATCGCGTTGACCATCATTCGTGATCACTCCCCCAAGGCCATGTACTCGGATCGCAGGACCACACCAGCTGAAGATGGCCACAGCAGGTAACAGTAACATCTTGCATTGTAACTAAGAAAATAGCTCATACATCATTTCTATTGCTTCCCAGCCTTGCCCTTTATTCTATTAACAAACCCCAACAGCTTCGCCTTCAAACCTGTGCTCTGCGCCTCATCGGCACCCACAAACCTCCTGACCAAAATATTGTACAATCCTCCAAATGCTAGTGCGATCGCCGTTGATGTGAAGATAATAACGTTGTATGGCATACTGAAATCAGGTGTGGGTAGGTATAGCAGCAGTGTCGTAGTACGGATGTTGAGAACCTTGGGCTCTAATGTCGTGATGACAGCGGCGGCGACGTCGAAACCTCTGTTAGCGTCAGGAGGATACTCGGTGTATCGCAAAATGGACTTTTCGAAATCGTATGTCAGGAAAACGGTGCAGTGTGGCGGAATGCGCATGAGGAGTTCAAGCTGTGTACCCCTTGCGCGGTCGAGTGCGGGACGGTAGTAGATCTCCTTGATCAGATCGCTCGAGTTCGACGAGGGTGAATCGGCAATACGGGCCGAGAGGGTGTGAAGGTAGATACGCATGAACCATGGTAGCGACTCCATATAGACGAACTCAACGTCGGTGTCACTAGGGTTGCTCAAGATGGCCTGTACACCACCGTGTTCCTGGCCGTGGCCGTTGAAGCTGCGATCAGCGTAGAGAAGAGGCGTCTCGGGCTTATTAAGGATCTTGTCCTCGTCTTGTGACTCGGGCTTGACGAGCATGAGGGTGAGTTCGGCGTTTGTATCAAGACTATAGCAGCGAGAGTTTTGGGATCGGATCTCGCGGGCGCCTTCGGTGGTGTAGATGTCACGGGACTGGGGGATCTGAACACAGACAGGAGGAACATCGGGGTCGGTGAGAGGGCATGTGCCCTTCATGGGGCGACCGAAGACTTGAGATAAAGTCCAATCTTGACCGTCGAGACTGTCGGCGGGGTAGCATGCGTGGTCAGAGTGGTAGGATTTGGAGGTATCGCAGAGCAGCTCGTGAGCAGGAGGGGGTCGCGGAATCGGGTTGTCTAGTGCTGTTAGAGGGGCCATGTAACAGATTTAAGGGACATACTTTGAGGCCTCTTGGATCGATTGACATCAAGCACCATATCCACAGTCTCCTCCATCTCCAAGAAGCACTCCCCATCCGCATTGCACTTAGGTCGAACATCAATCGCCATGCTCTGATAAGAGGCATCGAATAGTTTGTGACCATCCAGAAGTGTAGCAATACCAGCCTTGCCCTTGCACGGCAACAACTTCAAGAAAGGTGTCAGATTCTCGGTACAGACAACTTCATGCGGTAAAACACCATGAAGAAGTCTCATGTTCGCAAGCGACGAGTTCGAGTGGTCACCGTCGGGCTGGAAAGACATAACAGGTCGAATCGTTCTCGTCTCATCGATAAAGTTCAAACTGGCGCAGAACAGTCCCGACAGAGCGTTTGTGAGCGTCAACCACTTTTCGTCAGCTTCCTCATCAGTCTGAGCATCTAACCACGCCCAGAGTTCAACACCAGTGCCTCCCTCGCGTGTTCCATCCCACGGTCTAGCACCCCAGGACTGAGCGTCCCATCGTCCTAGCGTAAATCGTAAATGTAGCTCTCGTGTTCCAGCATACTGAAGTATTTGCGCCAATGATCGAGGAAACAGTCGAAAGTTATGCGCTTCAAAATCGGCAATCGATGTATTGGCTCGGAAGTTGAAGCTCGCTAGAAGCTGGGACAGGGGTAAAGGTCGAAGCGTCAATTGCTCGTGATAACCGGAGGCGGCTGCAGAAGTGAGTGCAAAGCCATTTGTTATGGCCAGTAACAGATAGGCCAGAAAGTGGCGCATATTGAAGGAAAAGGGTAAAGGAGTGTGGAAGTCGATCAAGACTTCACATGGCACCTTTGCCCTTGGGAGATCGATTTGGTGTCGTAGCTTGGACAGCTATTGCGACGTGGAGGATTCGATTAGGTAAGCGGTGGATACTGGCAGAAAGTTAGCTTCCCGGCGCGTTCCTCCACATGCCGTCGCATCTTGAATCTTGAGGCCCCGCCAACTTTCAACATCTGCCAACGACGTATTCACAATGGCCGCTGAACAGAGAAAGCTGCTCGAGCAGCTGATGGGAGCATCCTCGACGTCACGAGCCGCTCAACTATCACTCACCGACCCCAAAGTTTGCCGATCATATCTCGCAGGCACCTGTCCACACGATCTCTTCACAAACACAAAGCAGGACATTGGACCGTGTCCGAAGGTGCATAATGAAGGGTTGAAAGCGGAGTATGATGGCCTATCAGATCGGGAGAAGCAGAAATATGGATTCGAGTACGATTATATGCGCGATCTACAAAAGTACATCGATGACTGCAACCGCCGAATCGATGCTGCGCAGAGAAGATTAGAGAAGACACCTGACGAGATTCGCCAGACCAATGTTTTGGTACGCCCCTGTCCCTTGTTTTACGATGCGAGATACTAACCTACGTAGCTCAAATCTATCTCCGATCTTTCAGCTTCCATCAACAACGGCCTCCTCGAAGTCGAAATCCTAGGCTCCATGGGCGAGGTCTCTCGCGCCCAAGATGAGCTCTTCCGCGTCCGTCAAGCCTCACAATCCAAATCCGACCGCGAAAAGGAACTCAAAGCTCTATCCGATACATCTGGTCCCTCAGGCCACCAGAAGCTGCAGGTGTGCGATGTTTGCGGTGCCTACCTCAGTCGACTCGACAACGACAGACGTCTCGCCGATCATTTCTACGGAAAGATGCATCTGGGATATGCGCAGATGAGGAAGACCTACGATGCTTTCCCTAAAGAGATGAAGGGCCGGTCGAGGGCGCCTATGGACGACGATGGACCTGGTGGGCCCAGAGGACCTCGAGGTTCGGGATACAGGAGTGGCCGCGGTGGAAGGGGATACCGTGGAGGATGGTAATCAATGTGTAATTATTTGCTGGGATGTTCAGGCGTTTGGCGCTGTGTATAAAATGGACGGAAATAAGAATGAAAGAGCTGGCGGAGAGCAGGATAATACCCTTTCTAGAAAAGTAGCTCAGCGCCAAAAGGCAAATAGAAATGAGGAGAATTCTTTCAATCTCGCCTCGACTTTCTTTTCTAACAATGCTACCTTTGGTGTTTTTGCAACCCCGCCTCAAACTATCCCCAGTGTCCCATCTCTTCTAGTTTGTTCATAACTTCTTGTTCAGTTCATCATACTCATCCATCTCTTCATCCCACTTTCCGCCAGTGGGTGGTGGCAGTGGTGGTGGAGGTCCAGCTGCCGCAGCCGCAAAAGCCGGCTTATCGGTCGTTGGTGCGGGTGCGCTCTTCTTGGCCTCACCGGGCAAAGCAGGGAAGTCTTCAGCTGCGGGAACGGTTTGTTTGACTGGCGCTGGTGGTGCGCCTTCGTGGCCACCGCGTCCACCTCGGCCTCCTCGTCCTCCACGGCCGCGACCCCTACCCCTTCCACCACGATGTCGCTCGTCCAAGAAGCGATCCACGTCATGTTCCTCATTATCCTTTGAAGCGTACCGACTTCCACCAAGACCGGAGCTTCTCGATCCTCGGATACCACCATTTGCGCCACGGAAACGTCTGTTTTCCTCCTCGTCAAGAGCATCCTTACCTTCATCCCATCCACCCTCCTTCATACCCATAGCCTTAAGCTTCCGCTCTCTGTTCTTAGCGCGTTCGTCATCAAGCCTGCGCTTATCCTCTTCGCCACGTCTGCGTCGCTCAGCTTCCTCGGCGCGGCGCTTCTTAGCCTCCTCCATGCCGCGAGCATACGCCGCAGCGTGATCCTTCTCATCCTTTTCGGCCTTTTCAAACTTTCGCGCCTTCTCTGCGTTGAGGAGCTTCATCTTCTCCATCTTGGCAGCGAGTTCTTCGTCGGTGAGCTTCTGTCGCGGGTTTGCGCCAGATTGCAGACGAGCTGCAGAATTGGCGGCGGTGTTTTGCGAACCATGGTTGTTCTTCTCGCGAGGAGCTGTTGGAGCGTTGGGAGGCGCATTGGATGTTGGTTGGGGAGCTTGCTTTGCGGGTTTGGGGGGAGCTGGCTTGTCGGCGTATCGTGAGGAAGAGAGGCCAGCAGGTTTTGAGGCAGGGGCCGATGGTGCGGGAGCTGGCGCTGGCGCTGGCTTCTCTTGAGGAGCGGGTGGTTCCTGAACCGGTGCTACAGGCGCAGGCTGGGGTTCCGGTACGTTTTCGGTAGTGACGACGGTCTCGCTCTCGACGGGTTCGAAGTCGTCGTAGAAGAGATCATCGTCGGTACGCCCTCCAAATTGGTCATCCATGGCGGGCAGTAGTGGCGGCTCGTAGAGAAGTTGGAACAAGACAAAAAATGATATTCAATATAATGCAATTGAAAACGTATAATATAAGCCGCACAGTTGTCCAAGAAAAAGGTAAAGGGAGATCTGTAAAGTTTAGGAGGGATGAAGTTCGCGCAACACCGTACCCCGCGGAGCCCAGAGGGTCATCACTGTGCAAGGTGGGGGGAGGTTTGGCGGGTGATAAGTGGAGCCGGCGGAAGAGACGCGCTTAATTGTTGGAGCGCTCCGGCTTTGGTGTTCTAAGTTTGACCACAGATGACTTGCTTTAACTCAAGGCTATTATAAAGTTTATTGAGCCCATGACGACCTTTATAGTTTGAATTTCTAGAAACGAATCTTACTTCTATTGGCGGCAATTATATATCTTATCTCGCCCGCATATCGGGATAGGGTAGGTAGATTGCTGGTCGTGAAACACCATGTTCTGTTGGTACGTTAATATTAATGTGATCGGTAAATGGGATGAGGTTGGTGATTGAAAGACTGGAAGGGGGGCGCAATATCTATGAAATTTTAATCATGGAGTAGCAGACATAGGAGAAACGTATACTTTCTGAACTCTTGATGGACGAAAAACAAAGCATGGAATGTAGCAGTTCAAAAAACCAGCGAAGCCGTTTGGAAATATGGGACAATGCCAAAGAGCTCACAGGCACTGGCTATGAGAACGGTTTTATGTTTTTCTACTACCCAGGAAAACAAACGTTTTATGCCACCGCCTGATCTTCCTTTTCTTTGGCCACTGGGTGCATTTTTTCTTCAGCAGTTGCTCTTCGCTTGTGATATGTCTGCTTGAGCGCTTCAACAGATCGCCCGGGGAAGTGGTCCTGAGAAATAGCATGTCAGGATGTTTATGGGAAGGGCGGGTGAATCGGAACAGTAACTTACGCTGATATCTCTCCACGACTTCCCCTCTCTCTTCAGCTCGATGAGTCGCTTCATTTCGTCTTGATTCCAGAACTTGTAACCCGGGTTGCTGTTCTGCATATGGTGACTATGTCAGAGATGGATGTATGGGCATAAGCGACCGGGTACCTACCGTCTCAGCCTCCGACACGGAGAGGGTTGCCCCGGGAGTTGAGGGAATTGAAGCAGAGAATGATTCTGTAGTCACCAGAGCTTGCTGTCCAGATCCAGACCTGTCTTGCGTAGAGCTGGTTTCCAGCCATGGTCTGCAACCAGGGCTTTCTGGCAAGGGTGTTCTGCCTTTTGCCAAAGCTCGTACTTGCCAGGGCTTGAGAGCGTTAGGAGGCGTTTCGTTGTTGATCCCAGACATGATTTGTATGATGAAATAATCAGGACAGTGATGTTGGTGTTCCTGTAGAAAGCAATGCGAAGTTCTGGGATTTAAAGAAGCTAATATACTTAGAAATGAAATGGCTGTATATACTGAATAATCTTGGCGGATTCGCAAGTGAATGCCGCGGGCACTGACAAAGGACAGTGAATGGAGCATCTTCATTGTTCCATTGAAAGCTAGCGACCAGTCACTGTCAGGATGATCATCTGCCAATGCAGCTGCATCTGTCTACAGATTTGCAAAGGGAAAACAACTGGTTCAAAGAAAAGTGAACGAAGGATTATACAAGGTAGGGCATTCTGATGAAATTCAGCCTATTGTGTCAGAATTGAATATTGTCCCCAGGTTCAAATAACACTGTCTTCAATCGGATCTTTGAATTGAGAACTGAAGTCATCGCTAATGCCTGTATTGAAACCGTGTGGGTGGCTAAGGGTGTTGCTGGGGATCCCTCTGCTATTGTTAGATGAGCTTTTGATGAGACGATTTGAGGGAGCCACTGACCTACGCCTCGGAGCTCATGGTCCCGTTTGAGACCCACTGCTGGACCCCTCGTTAGGCTCATCAGGCGACGATGTGTCAAGATCAATATCGTTCCTCAGCCATGAGCAATGGCCTGGTGCGTCGGGAAGGGGAGTTCGGCCCTGTTCAAGAGCCGTTCGATGCCATGGTTTGATACGGTCAGATATTGCGAGAATTGATGTGAGTTAAGAGTGAATGCACTTTAGGAGGTTAAAAAGTGTTATTTATATTTATTCTCAGAAAGCTTTAAGCCAGAGTAGATCGTGGAAAAGTATTTTTCTTTTTGGGACGATGAAAGTTTTGGGTCTCGCAAAGCTACCTCGCAAACCACAGATCAGGTTTCAATTGTATGTTAACGCCAAATTTTATCTTTTCTTCGTTACCTGAGTTTCCTCCTGTTGATTTGCTGAGTGAGTCACTGTATCGGCCCAGCTGATATACTGTTGCGAATAAGGCTTGATGCCCAAAGAAATTTCGATAAGAGGTTTGGTTATGTTGCTATCTCTGCGGCCGTTATAGTTTATATGTACTAGACGGCGGACTTGATCTAATCCTTCTTTGCCGCTTCTCCACTGGATTTCTCCTCCTCGATCCTTTGTTCCACTGTATGGCGCCGCTTGTGGTATGTCTGTTTCAGGGCCTCGAGTGTTCGATCAGGGAGTTCCAACTAAAGAAAAGTTAGTACTGAAATTACAATGTCATTTGGGAAAAGCATGGAGGATTTACGGCAATGGCTGACCATTTAGCACTGCCATTCCTCATTTCAATGAGTCGACGTAGATCAGACTCAGCCCAGATACGATACGACTGATCCACACCTGCCTTATAATCAAGCCAGTATACTTTGGATTCAGCAGGCGACTTTGTGACTTACAGCTGCTGTGGTCGTGGTGGACGCTGGCTCATTGATTTGGACCGCTGTATCAGTGGATGGTTTGCCACCGCCATTCGATCTTCTCTCTTGCTGATTCGATACTTCGAGTTCAGAGACAGTGGGTTCCTGTGATAGCCAAGGTCGTGCCCCAGAGCTACCCGGGAGCGGAGTGCGCCCTTTTGCAAGCGCTCCTTGGTACCAGTGTTGCATTGTGTCGTGTCTGATGTTGCAGATCTGTTTTCAAGTGACGTCTATTATATAGATCGAATGTTTATGCAGAGGCGAAATATTGGAGGCGCGAAGTGAGAAAGGAAACGTATAAACCATTTCTATAGAGATAGACAGTGAAGTTGACAGTGCCAGCTGTGCATATTCTGGGATTGTCCTGTAGTGCCAAAACGTGCCCAATGGGAGCAGTGACAATAGGTTTGAGCTACCTTATTGTTGAGAAATATAGTAGATCAGTTATGTATTTCATAAGATTTACAATCAAAAGGAGAGGGCCATGGCAAGGATCACCACCACTACGTCTAGGCCGTGATCTTAAAATCACTGATTACGCTTCTCAGCGTCGCCTCTAATAAGAGAAGGGTTAGCAGAAGCCGCTGCTAAAGCCTCTTTCTCCATTTGTTGCTCAGTAGCGAATCGACGCTTGCGGTATGTCTGCTTGACTCCTTGAAGAGTCCGTCCTGGGAATTGTGCCTAGAAATGAGGTTAGTTACGTTCTAGATAATCTAAGTTAAATACTTACAGTGATAGTGGCCCAGGACTCCCCGTTGTTTCTCAGCTGAATGAGCCGTCTCATTTCACTTTCTGTCCACCAGCGCTGGTTCGGTGTAGCAACCTGTCAAGGATGTTAGCTGGTGTTGAGTGTTGACATCGATTTGGCGATACTCGCCACAGTCATGTGGTAGTTTTGCCTTCCAGGGGTACTTGCATTCGTTAAAGCCGATAAAGGAGTGGCAGATATCTCGGTATCTTGTGAAAGGTTTAGCCAGGGTCTTTCTCCTGGACTTTCAGGTAGCGGCGTACGTCCAATTTCCAGAGCTCGCTTCTGCCAAGGCCAAAGCTGGACAGAAACACTCTTGTTGTTCTCAGGCATGCTCGAAGACTTACAGGCGTAACTGTGTTAGTTTGGTAAGCGATAGAGAGGATGAGGGAACCGGGATGTGCAATGCCTCGAGGTAATGTAGGGGGTCAATTGCGAATTTAAAAGTGCAACTTCGTAGCATTGGCTGTTCTCTTGTTCACACCAGAGAACAAGCTGTGGTACTCCTATCATTGATGCTCATTATTGAAAGACCGAACATGCCCCTGAACAGAAGGAGTCATGTTGCAGTTAGCTCATTTCGCACACAAAGAATGTATTCCTTCACTAAATACTACGAGGACAAAGAGACGTAAGATCCAAGATCACAAAGGATCGATCTTCAAGATGAATATTTACGCTTAAACACAATGCTCTCTTTCCGGGTCAGGAGTTTTGCAGGGTTTAGGTGATTCAATCCCCAATGACATAAGTGTCCTTGGTGCTCGGACGCCGTATGAAGCCATAAAGGACAAAAACAACAAACGAACATATTTCGACTTTACTTAGGTAGACCAAATTGAACAGAAGGATATATTGGCTATAAAATGACTCTCCACCGAAGCTTGGACCCCTAAACTTAGGTAAGATCAGGATTTCAGTGGTGCAGCGGCTTTATCAATCTCTGTCGTTCTTGATAGTATTGTGAGCAGAGCATTAATGGGAATCAATGGCCTCTTATATACCCCATATGTACGTACTCTTGATGTGAATACCCTCTTTCGATTGCCTATGTGTTTAAAAGAGCAATCATTTGTGACCATCCTCCAGGGTCGCAATGATGGCATCTCTAAGTTCGTTTCCTGTGTTCACTAACTTTGCCCCATATCTTCTACAAACGGCTTCAACATTCCCTTTCTTTCTGTAGCCATCCTGGGCACACACAATAATCCTTTTTGACTTTGACTTGACGGCCAAACCAAGCTCCATAAGACTGATTGGGGCATCTGTTGAAGGGTGGAACATGAATACAATGATGTCTGCAGCCTCCTGCATGTCAAGCTCCCACCAGACCTGCTCCTCCCATCGCTTGTCTGAGAAATCCTCCTTCCACGTGCTATCCCAATCCGGCCTGTCTGGATTCATAATTGTCACTTGGTGATTCATCAAGTCGTTTGTCAGAACTTCTCGCCAGTCAGGCTCGCCAGTGCTCGTTGTTATTCCCGCAAGGAAGATGGAAACACCTTTGTCGCCCGGATCAGGCTTGCGTGGAGCCATGAAAACTTTAGCGTATCGTTCCATGTTTGGGTTTGGAGGAAGGCTATGCACTTTTGCGCTGACTGTTTTGTGTTGGTTCAAGACGTTATGATTGCAGTGTTTTGTTCGCTGAAACGAATGTCTAGATGCAATACTTCCCCGCGCTTGAGTGTTGGATATCGACAGGCCATCTAACCAGTGATTGGTCAAACAGGTCTGCACTCCATCCGCCATTTCCAATATAGAGGTACCTTGGCAACATCACAAGTGTATGGAATACTTGGAAGTTGAGTCACATAGGTTCTGATGAGGAGATAAATGTTTGAATTATTTTAGACTTTGTGGATGCTTAATTATACATTTCCAGGCTAACTTACAAACTCAAGAAGTCAAAAAGAACACGACATGTAGCTATTAGCATAATTACGCAGAGTACTTACTATATATAGAAGACAGTTTATGCTGTATTACTGATAGTTAGCATGAGATAATCTCTTACTGTTTCTGCCAAGAAGAAGATGTGTTATTTGCAGTTAGAACTTGTCGCTAAGAGCTTAAATCAGCAGGAAGAACTTAAAGAGAACTTACAGAGAACTTACAGAGAACTTACAGAGAACTTACAGAGAACCAAGAATTAAATTATATATATAAATTCAGGGCCATCCTCATATATACCTATAAGTCACTGCCACTTTTCTCCTATATATCCCAGACTTCATTGTGCAAACATGGTCAAAGTCACAAAGCCCAACGTATGCGACTGCCAGCGCCAGCGCGCTGGAGACTTTATCGAGGCAGACCCTCTCGTCTCCCTGTTTGAGAGCAGCAAAAGATTTGAGTATACGAAGCAACTTGAGGCCACCATCCAGTCAGATTACGCATACTTGTTCCCCGACTTTCGCCTGGATTTCTACCACGTTGCAACCATCTTGACAATCCCCCCAAGAATCTTTCGCACCCATTCAGCCTTTCAATCGAATCCTGCCTAATTGATGGGCGTACTTATGGCGGCAACAACCATCATGAGATTTTAGAGACACTCAAAGAGATTCCTCCATTCTGTAGACATTGTAAGTCGCTACCTTGATTTGCCGCCAAAAAGACTTATTTAATATTACCCAGATATGATGAATCTTGGCGCTGCTGATGTCGCGCCTGAATTCCAGCCTTATGTCCTTAGGGACAACGAACCCCAACCAACTTACAGCGATGTTGATTCGAGTGACATGGACGTGGACTTCGAAAAGCTCCTCAGGAGGCATGCTCGCACAATCCCGACGCTAGAGGACCATGTCCGAGACGAAACAGAGGCAACCAAATGCTGAGTGCGCGATGGTAACATATGCGTTGTGACTGGCAAGCCAAATCCCAAAACTTGCCACATCCTTCCGTTCACCTGCAACGACACCGTGAACCATAACAATAACACCGCGTATGTGAGGGGAGGTGCGGGGCACCTTGTAACTAAAGATTTGCTCTCGCAGGCGCCTTATGTCTCAAACCCTCGCACACTTGGTGGATCTGACAAACGATAGAATCAACTCTGTCTCGACCCTGAGCTGTTCAGCTTGTGGGCGAAAGGCTATTGCGCTTTCAAGTTTATGGGCTCAAAGGACATCAGCGAAGGAAAGAGAATGGCGACATTGCAGTTCCGATGGATGCCACAGATCAAGAAGAGATCTGGTACGACGATGGACATTCACGGAACTGGCTCTGAGAACGACTGGCTGAATCTGATGGCTGAGCTTGATACTTTCCACTCCCAGTATCAACCTCCGCCTACAATAGGAGACAAGACTCTTCGAGCCACCACTAAAGCTGGCGCACCTCTTCGATCGGGACATCTTATCCACATATGTCTCCCTAAGGAAGACGTTGAGTGCCTCGAGGTTGTCATCAGTCTTCAGCGGTGCGGCAGGTAACCCTGAGATGCCCCTGCGCGACAGTCTTCATGAAAGTGTTATGACTTGGCTTGAGGATGAACCTGAAGTTAGTGATCAGGAAGGAATGGACACGGATTGATTTCTTTTGGAAATATTTATGGATTATTAGGACCTGGCTTTTTGGTGTATATTGGAAAATGTTCAGATTCATAAAGAGACAAAATGTTTTGGCTTTCAACTCAGTTTCGTATCTTGGCTAATGGTTACATACATATTTGGCCACCGGTGTCGTAATGGTTGCTGAACACGCTTAGTTCTCACTGCGCGTCATGAACACGAAAGTCTTGAGGGGAAAACAGGTTGACATTCCAGAAGATCGATTCTATCTAGCGAACTATGTAGCCGAAGTATTATCCCGTCAAAGAACCTGCCCAACCCACCACTAACAAACGATTGTCGTCTGCAGAACGCCAGATAAGACGATATGATTTTCCATTCCCGAAGTCGTAAACGTTACTCATGATATGAGGATCGGACTCTCTTCTTGCGGTCTTCGTGCACCAAGTGAATGACCTTGTTAGACTGGCGGGACTCACGCAATCGCACCTCCCAGCCCGGTTGTGCGAGATGGTGTGGCTTCATGTTAGCTGCCAAGGATACATGATACAAATTCTCCAGTCTCTCTGACTGGAGGACTTCACGTATGTTCCTCACAAAGGCCTTGTAGTTTGGAATGCCGATCTTCCTGATCTCAAACTGCTCAATTGAGGTTGGAAGCATAAGCTCAAAGTCAAGCTTTGCCGGACTGGGAGTAGGAACGGAGGGTCCTGGTGGCATCGTCATATGACGAAGCTCCACACTCAAGGAGAACCTCTTGAGACGAGTCAAGTTCTGGAGTGATCCGATATTGTTCGCAGCCCATGTGTGCTCCTGGACCTCCCTCCCACCAGTCAACCCGTCTGTCCACCGCCTAGATGCCTTGATCTGAATGTCAAGACTCTCCAAGGCATGGCAGTGCTGAATCCAGTCGCCGAAGCAGTATTTGAAGGGGTCACACGTTGTTGATAACATCGTTACGACCTTGATGTCCAGGAATCGAAGACTTTCGCAGACTGACAGCAGATTTCGCAAGCTACCTGGTGTGATCCATGAAAAGTCGGCGTCAAGCCTTTCAAGTCGCTTGCAGGCATTCTTTGGCATTTCCAAGTCCCCACTGTTGGTTCTAGCGATGAATTGCATGTCATCGATGGTCACTGTTTTTAGAAACGGCAGCTGGAATAGAATCAAGGTCGTCTGGATGCATGTTGGTAGACCGCTTGGACTAAGCTTGAAGTCGATTCTCGTCAACCGTGGGAATCGCCTTGGCTGCCCATTCAAACTCTTATGGACCAATTTCGCCAAAGTCTTCATGCCGTAGTTCAGACTGATAGTGAGTCTATTGAGGTTGGGTAGTCTCTGCATCCAGAAGGTTGTTGCCTGGTCGTAGTATTCCTGTCGACCATGTTCAGTTTTGAGCCAACCCGGAAAACGGACAGTCCATGAAGATGGGAGCCATATATAGTTTCGAAAGTGTGGGTGTAGCAAGGAATTGACCACTTCCGTATCATAAGGGCAATATAGCTCTCGAACCAGACGACACAGATGAGGATTTTGGCCTAGCGTTAGAAGACACTTTGATGAGCGTGCATCTATGCGGCGATACAGGACTCTCTGAGCAAGGCTTTCGAGTCGTCTTGATGCCAAGCACGCATTGAAGAGGGTCATGTTTGCTTCTTTGGTAGAGATTGCATCAATATTGTCATTATCCTGCAGCATGGACAAGATATTGAAGAGGATCTCGTCTGGAAGCCATAACGCTGTTGGCTCCAGCTCAGTCATGGTTAGGTCGGCCCAGGGCTTGGGATGAAAGAGACAAAGGATTGGGAAACAAGAGAGAAAGAAGAGAAGAGAAATGCAGGAGGGCAAACAAAGAAAATAAATGTGAGGAGACTAGCAAGCCACAGGCAATACAGGTATGTTGCAAGGGGATCTGCACACTGTGGTAATATATCTGAGGAGCTGTCCTGCAGGTCTCAGTAGGAACCTGTATGAAGTTGGAGCACTCGTAATTTCCTACAATTCTTTGTCTACACTCAATTCTTCAGTTACGGCTTCTACAATTGCGGAATCAACTCTCTTCAGGCGTTTAATAATAAAGATCCATAGCGTGCGAATTCGGCCATGACCCAACAACCAGACTCAAACAAAACGCCATACATCCCCACACCGCACCCGTTATCCAATCACCAAGAGTGAGATAACCTATCAGCACATCTTTACTGCTTACATGGTAACACAGGCGTTGGCTTGGCATCGAGTGTGGCTTTTTGTAAGATTGATCGTCTGCACTAGACAAGGATGCCGATGGGAGAGATGCTGACCTTGCAACGGAGAGGTTTTGTGTAGGGGGAGTTTCTTGTTTTGAGATTTCCGGGCCTCGGGGAGCAAGAAAACATCAGACCTTGCCTTAGGGTGTTAAAATAAATTTAGCAAAAGGTATCCTAAACTTAGGCTAAATTTATGCAAAATTGCCTAAGCCTTTTTGTCACTTAGGATCAAGGTCCTGGGTTTTCTCTCCTCCTCTGGCCGGGCTCGTGGTAATTGCCAATGGTGAGACTTGGTGCTAGTAGTCATTCGCAGTCGATCCGTACAAATGAACTCCGCGCTCAAGGACCTCAATCTCGTCACCGACTTGAACATACAAACTTTCAACACTGCCCGTGGCCTGCTGCAAGCCTGCATTCTCCGGCACACAGTGCATGCCAAGGTACCCAAGAGCCCTTGGGTTTCCATCCTCAACCGTTCGATGCTTGACAAGCGTCGAGCTAGGCTGCGCATTTCCTCTCGTTCTGTCACCATGCGGATTGTCGGTGTCGAATCTACCAGTGAGAGGATTCACGTTCGGCAACGTGCAGCGCGATGTTCGGCAAACGACAGAGAGTGAAGGGGAGGCTGCATCTTGTTGTTTTGGCACAACGCGATATCGTTTCCATGTTTCTTCGTCAAACGCTGGAGCGCCCGTGATCCAAATGTTGGCGCGGAAGCGAAGCGCATTGAGAGGCTGGTTTTCTTTGGGGAGAAGGGCTGAAACGGCGTGGACGGAGGCGAGACTGTTCACATTGACAGGTTGCTGGTCTGTGTAACCGTGAACAGCCGGTTTGCCGATGTGTTCCAACGGTGCGAGGTTTTTCTCTGTTGGCACGAGAGTGTGTGGTGTACACTGTAGAAGCGTGAGATTTTGATGTTCGGGGATGTTAAGGAAGCGCTTGAGTTTGGGAAGTGCGGCGGCAATTGATGGTGCATTTCCCAGATCCAAGCCTTCTGCTTCTCGTGAATGAATCGCAAATTTCTTCATGGTGATTCCATGATTCTTGAGATAATTTTCATCTGGAGACAGTGGTACAAAAGCAGATATTTCCTTTTGCTGAGAAAAAAGCAGCGCTTTAAGCTGGTCAAGCAAACTCAAAGGATCTGGGTCTGGGAACTTGAAGACGAGACATCCCACCGAATCGAATGAAGATCTCGCATCGTGGCCTTCAGGTCTCAGCCATAATTCAGTCTTTATCTGCGACATGAGCGGCTTGGTCCTCTGGCTGATAAATCGCCATATTGGACCTCCTTCTGATTCTGCACGATTGACTTCTGTCGCCAGAGCGAAGCATCGGTCCCAGACAAAGCCACTCTTGATGAGCTGCGCTCGGTGCAATTCGACTGGCGCGCATGATTTGATGGGATGCACAAAGATTGCCTTGACACTGATTGGGCCACTGTTTCCGCTGTTCTCAGCAAGGTCATATTTGGTATCATTTTGGTCGTTCATGTTGCTTGACGACACGCCTTCTCGTCGAAGATTGCGAAGCTCTTTTGGTGTTGAAGAGCCATTTTGAAGCCAGATGGCGATGAGACTGCACACTAAGACTGCTACTGAGATGGCGATCGATGTCGGCGTCAGTCGATTGACACTCTCTTTGAGATTGCCTATGAATGAGTCGTCCATTGTTTCACGTACACAAACCTTTGTGTGAATTTTGTGAATTACAAAGGATTGTGTGTCAAAGAAGTTTGAAAGACCCGTCACAAAGCTTGAGAGCGCTGTGAATGCCGATGACAGACACTAATGGTGGTGCTAAAACAGGTCCACCCACACCCTTTACAGTGGGGTAATGATGAGGAATCATCTTTACTGATCTTGGCTTGCAGCAACAAACCAGAGGCAATTGAACATCGACGTTTGAAGACCTTTAGTTTCATGATTCTATGTCTATTTTGTCATTCACTAACTGTAAAGAAATACCTAAATCCACAAACCCAATCCCTCCGACATGAGAAAACCAGAACACCACAATTATGCGAGAAAACATATACAATCAGAACCTCAATCAGTCATCGCAGTCCCATCATCATTTACAGAATCAACAGAGATCCAAGCAGACCCGATACAAGCACCATGCCCAAGCTTGCAGTAATCTTGAAGGCATCAGACTGAGCAGCGCCGGTAGACGCAGCGTCGTCTGAGCCCGTACTGGAGCTACTTCCGGTCTCCTCAGAGTCATCACTCTCGGTCGTCTGAGGCTTGAAGGGCTTGACGGCGCGTGTGCTTCCTGAAGAGCCAGCCTCCTCAGTCTCAGTGTCGGAGGGGACACCAGAGTCAGTGATCAGCACTTCATCGTGGGTCTTAGTAGCCTTCGACTTGCGTCCGGCACCTGTTGCAGAAGGCTCATCTCCAGCGGGCTTATCAGCCTGAGCCGCACCTGTGTTGTCAGGCGCGGCGTTCCCAGCAGGAGAAGCACCGACGGGCTTCGACTCGTCAGCAGGCTTGGGCTTATCTCCAGCATCGCCGCCAGTACCCTCGGCAGGCTTGGCAGGCTTCTGAACTGCAGGGGGCGCTGGAGGGGCCGTGGTGGGAACCTGAAGCTTGCCATCCGAGACTTGGCTGACAGGAGGAGCAGTAATGATAGGGATCTCCATGTCATCACAAGGCGTCGTGCGAACCTGAACCT